ATTAATGTCCATAATTACACATTATGCTGTCAGCAATAGTGAGGTCGATCGTATCACTTTTCACAGGGAATGTAGAAGTTGTCCTTTCATTACAAGTGTGTCCGTGTGAAACTGGCAGTAGTGGGGATGTTCTGGAGGAGTTAAAGCTGAACTTTAATCTGCTTATATTTTGACTCCCCTGGTTCCTCCCTCCCTCCACTTCATCATCGTGCTAATGACATTTTTAATAAAATATTTTTGTTTTCATTACATACCTTTTACATTTTACACCCAGTGACATCACCGAGTATCTGTTGCTTCTCTATGGCTGATCATGGCTGGTGGGAGGACCTTGCAGGGTGCTGTACGTAACTCAAGAGCCCTCAGCCCTAATGAAAGCATTGGGCTTGCTCTTGGGAGGACCTATGCACATATTAAAATGCACCGATGGGTGGATGTCAGTGTAGAGCATTGGGGTTCCTAGGTAATGCTGAGCCCCATGATTGAAATAACTGAATTCTAATGAATGAAAGTGGCAGGTCAGGGACAGTTACGCTGGGAAAGAAAGAATTTGATGATGCTGGACGTCTTCTAGCCAGGAAATAAGGTGGGCTCAATCTGTCTCAGATGCACACAGTGAGCAATATCAGTACAGGAGAGGGGACTGTAGCACCGTGCAATGCTCTTGACCTCCAACTTTCAGTGTGTACTTGACTTGTACAAGTACACATACTTCAGTGGGGGATGAGCTGTTATTGCTCATGCAGCTGGAGTAGTAGTCTGGGGATTCTTTCCTTAGGGCTTCCAGGGTGGATCAAAGTGATTTCAATTGCTCAATGTAGTTCTGTGCCAGCGCTGACCAATCAGAATCGCTTTGATCCATCTCTGAAGCCGTACAGAAATAAGGGGAAAGAAAGCCAAGATTTTGAATCCTCAGACCTACTACACTGGCTGCATGGACTGTGAGAGCATATCATCCAGGAAGGTCATTGCAGCGGAGACCGGAGGTGGGAAGGGTGTAGGGTGTTTAGTTCACCTTTTCATTTTTGTGTGAAAAGGTGAACTTACACTTAAATAAAGTCATTCTCCAGCATTCGATGCAGGTACCTGGCAAAGGAGACTAGTTTAAATCCCATTTTATTAAAGAACCTTCCCATCGATGGCAAGGAAGCCACCGAGCATCCTCTGTTGCTATGACTCAGGCAGCTTCTCAAGAAAGCAATCTAGCATCCTTTCGCTGCTAGGAATCAGGCAGCTTCTCAAGAAAGCAATCTAGCATCCTTTCGCTGCTAGGAATCAGGCAGCTTCTCAAGAAAGCAATCTAGCATCCTTTCGCTGCTAGGAATCAGGCTAGGAATCATCTCAAGAAATCTGGTTAGCATCCTTCTGTTGCTAGGGCGCAGGTAGTTTCTCCAGAAAGCTGCCTGGCATCCATTTGTTGCTAGCGTGCAGGCAGCTTCTCAAGAAAGCAATCTAGCATCCTTTCGCTGCTAGGAATCAGGCAGCTTCTCAAGAAAGCAATCTAGCATCCTTTCGCTGCTAGGAATCAGGCAGCTTCTCAAGAAAGCAATCTAGCATCTTTTCGCTGCTAGGAATCAGGCAGCTTCTCAAGAAGGCAATCTAGCATCTTTTCGCTGCTAGGAATCAGGCAACTTCTCAAGAAAGCAATCTAGCATCCTTTCGCTGCTAGGAATCATCTCAAGAAATCTGGTTAGCATCCTTCTGTTGCTAGGGCGCAGGTAGTTTCTCCAGAAAGCTGCCTGGCATCCATTTGTTGCTAGCGTGCAGGCAGCTTCAAAAGAAAGCTGTCTGGCATCCTTCTGTTGCTAGCGTGCAGATAGTTTCTCAAGAAAGCTGTCTGGCATCCTTCCATTGTTAGGACATAATCTTTTCAAGGAGCCACCTAGTGTCCTTCTGTTGCTAGGACACTAGTGCACTGTATTCATGTAAATGTTAGAGCAAACATTTGCATTCATACTCCATAAAATATGGTCCACAAGACCTCAGATGCAGATTTTTACTGATAATATATGTCTCCTTTTTCTACGGCTGTGTGTATGAACCCCTACACTGCGTATGGGCACTTCAGCTGTAAGTGGACACAAAGTCTCTGCATTGGAATTAGTTGAAAAAAATGTTATCAATGTATGAAACATGGCACAGGAAAATTGTCATTATTTGATAAGTCAATGAAACGGTGCTTTAAATGAATTACTACTATTATAATTGCAGATACAGAAAGACTGCCTACAGTGACATGTCCAATTTCAAAGGAGTCTGACAGGCTGGTTCCTTTCAATTGTCATTTTCTGTCATGCGATGACTAAACGATGTTCAGCGTTCACCTCGTACTTGACCTGTTAATGACATTCCAAGAAAGGAACTTTGTGCCAGAGGTGAGGGCAGCAGAGTAATTTCAATTTAGATAGCAGCCATTTGTCTGTCTAAAGGAGCCCACCAATAATAAATAACCCACCACAGCGACAGATTTGGTTTAAGGCTTTCAACGCTCTTTTATTGCTAAGCTGCCTGCTGGCTCCCACATCAATCGTCCGTAGACATGCCGCCCACACACGCGTGGGCAGAGTATGCGGTTGATGGTGGGGGGGGGAGTTGTGACTGATAAAATGTCACATGACAATGCCCGCTGTCACCGAGAATGAACATGTTGTATGAGCGATCTCTACTACATTTAGAAGTGTCAGATTGATATAAAAAGCTAAAAGAGTTTCATTAGTCACATCAGGGACTCGAGCCGATGACATGATCAGTTCAACATTTCCTCCTCTTCTAATCCTCTGCAGTTCAGTTGTTGCCGTTCATATTTAGAGCTTGTTGGTCTTTTGTGCCGTTGCTTCGTACTGCAGCTGGAGGACAGATTTATCCACAGATGGAGGAAGGTGGGGGAGTTGGAGACCTACCTACCACAAAAGTGTGTGAAATATACTCCGCTTTATACTTAGACTTTTCTAAGGATTCTTCAGGTCTGAACTGTTGGGCAAAGTTAGCAAACCAGGAAAAGCCTACGTTTGCCCCCCCCCCCCCCCCCCCCCCTTTTTTTTTTTTTTTTTTTTACATAATTCCTCCAATACCACTTAAGGTAGAACCCTAACTTTGTCTTCTTTTATTTGCCCGATCACAGACCATGCCGCTTGCCCCCCCCCCCGTCAGGATTCTTCAGCTAACCTACTCCCCTAGTGCCCAGCCTATGGCCCAAGAGGCAATGGCAGTGTTGGCTCTGTAAAGGGGATATAACAGCCGTGATCTCTGCCAGTCTCATATTACATAGTCTGGTTGAAAAATGACAGTCCATCCAGTTCAACCAATAGAAGGGGAGGAAAAAAAATGGTATGCAACTGTACATATACACTATCTTCTACCCACTTTTTGATCCAGAGGAAGGCAAAAAAAACCCAAAATAAGCATGATCCAGTTTGTTCCAGCAGGGGAAAAAATTCCTTTCTGATCCCCTAAGAGGCATTCAGGGGATCATCTTTAGCTGTAAATATTAGTGCAGTATCCAGTTATTTTTGTGTATTTAGGAAAGAAGCCCAGGCCTTTTTTTTTTTAAAACAGTCTATTGAGCTGGCCAGAACCAACTCTTGAGGGAGTCTATTCCACATTTTCACCACTCTTACTGTGAAGAAGCCTTTCCATATTTGGAGGTTAAATCTTTTTCTCCAGATGTAGAGAGTGACCCCTTATCCTTTTGTGATGACCTTAAAGTGGATAACTCTACACCAAGTCCTTTTCTCAAGAGAGAATAAATTCAGTTCCTCTAATCTTTCCTCATGGCTGAGCTCCTCCGTTCCCCTTATCAGTTTGGTTGCCCTTCTCTGTACTTTCTCCAGTTCCCCAATGTTCTTTTTGTGAATTGGTGCTCAAAACTGAACTGCATATTCCAGATGAGGTATTACTAATGATTTGTACCGGAGGAAATGATAGCTCTCTCTGGAGTCTATACCTCTCCTAATACAAGAGAGGATTTTGCTCGCTTTAGAAACCGCAGCTTGGCATTGCATGATATTATTAAGCTTGTGATCTACCAGAACCCCCAGATCCTTCCCCACCATTGACCCCCCCAGTTGTACCCCCCTAGTATGTATGATGCATGCATATTCTTAGCCCCCAAGTGTAGAACCTTACATTTATGAACATTAAACCTCATTTGCCACATAGTTGCCCAATTACACAGAGCATTGAGGTCGGCTTGTAAATTGGAGACATCCTGTAAGGACGACATTATTCCACGGCACAGCTTGGTGTCATCTGCAAAGACTGAAATGGGATTTATAATCCAGACCCTATATTGTTTATAATTATATTAAAAAGTAAGTGTCCCAACACTGAACCTTGGGGTACACCACCGACACCCCTAGACCATTCAGAGTATGAATCATTAACCACTACTCTCTGAATACCATCTTTTAGCCAGTTTTCCATCCATTTACATACAGATTTTTCCAGCCTGTAGACTTTACCTTACACATTAGCCGTGTGTGGGGAACTGTGTCAAACGCTTTTGCAAAATCCAAGTATACCACGTCCACCGACACCCCTCTGTCCAAGTATACCACGTCCACCACCACCCCTCTGTCCTGTGTCCAAGTATACCACGTCCACAGCCACCCCTCTGTCCAAGTATACCACGTCCACAGCCACCCCTCTGTCCAAGTATACCACGTCCACAGCCACCCCTCTGTCCAAGTATACCACGTCCACAGCCACCCCTCTGTCCAAGTATACCACGTCCACAGCCACCCCTCTGTCCAAGTATACCATGTCCACTGTCACCCCTCTGTCCAAGTATACCACCGTCCACAGCCACCCCTCTGTCCAAGTATGCTACGTCCTCCGCCACTCACAGCCACCCCTCTGTCCAAGTATACCACGTCCACCGTCACCCCTCTGTCCAAGTATACCACCACCGCCACCCCTCTGTGCAAGTATGCTACGTCCTCCTCGTACCACGTCCACCGTCACCCTCTGTCCAAGTATGCCACGTCCACCGCCACCCCTCTGTCCAAGTATGCTACGTCCACCGCCACCCCTCTGTCCAAGTATGCTACGTCCACCGCCACCCCTCTGTCCAAGTATGCTACGTCCACCGCCACCCCTCTGTCCAAGTATGCTACGTCCACCGCCACCCCTCTGTCCAAGTATGCTACGTCCACCGCCACTCCTCATAAAAATAAATCAGATTAACTCATTCCTATTTACTAACAGTCTTTTAGAACTGATCTCCAACTACACCTGTAGCATGTCCATAGTTTGACTGTTCCCTCTAGTAATTGTGTTGTCTCTAGCAGTCTTCTGTAGCATTAACTGTATTTGCAGTGTTTTGGTGATGTCAGAGGGTGCAGGTGAGGGCTTCCAAAACTTGTAACTTGCAACCACTGACATATGCACTTTGAAAAGCTTTCCTTTAGCCCTGTTTTACAAAATTCTTCCGATTATTGCTTAAGGTAGAATCCTACCTTTGTCTTATGTGCAGTGCGTTGGTGATGTCAGGGGGTGCAGGTGAGGGCCCCTAAAACTTGTAACTTGACAATCACTGACCTACACACAAGATGGAAGCAGGGATCATCAGCAAAGTTGCTAAAAATGTCTTCCAGGTATATAGTTGTACGTTTGTGTTTGAGTTTTAGGAAAGAGGGAGAGTTGGTATCTATGTGCCCTGCATATTACACCTTCTAGGCTCTTACAGTGAAAATAAGCTCACGTTTCATCTGGAACTCTACCTCCAATTGGGTTGTTTGCCCAGACGTTTCACCAAAGTGCAGAAAACAATTTGCTGTTGTTGGCGCGTAACGACATAAAACAAGCAAACAGACGGGCCTCGCTGGGGTATTGGGCTCAGACATGCAAACCGGAGCGGCACACATGTTTCCGATCACCCGGCGCCCCCCTCGCAGGCAGATGTTTTTGTTGTATCGCACAGAAAGATTAGATAGTGGCCTGCAGGATGAAAAGAAGGATTGCTTCACCAAAATGCTTCTTAATAAACAAGTTAATGGATTTCTGAAAACAGTTGGACGACGTTTGATGTTTCTTATTTCAGTTTTATAAGTAGAGAAAAATTCCAGTTGCATGGAAAAGTGGGACTTTGAAGGGTCGAGGTAATCACGAAATATACCTAATTAACACATTTACCAGGACCCGCCGGCCTGAAAAGTAATGTGCTGGTGAATGCGCCCTCTGTTTCGTTCTGCTTAACCCCTTCCTGCCGGCGCCTCCCGGCCCTTTAAGAGTTTCAGGAGGCAGGATGGGCGGGGTTTAGGGGTCATGTGACCGCTGTGATGCATCATCATGGCGGTCACATGATTGGGAAAGGTCCCGATCGAAAGAGCAGACCGGGACCTTTCCGTGAGTACCAGACATGTGTTCTGGGAGCACGCAGGGTACGCGCTCTCAGCACATATGTTTTTTGTTAATTGCACGCAAATGTGTGGCCGCTCGGTGTCTAGGCCCAGACGCCGGGAGGCCGCACATTTGTGTGCTGCCGGCGTGAAGAGGTTAAAGTGACTGTAAAAGGTTAAAATTTTTTAAAATAACAAACATGTTATACTTACCTGCTCTGTATAATGGTTTTGCACAGAGTATCCCCATTCCTCTTCTCAGGTCCCCCGCTGGCACTTGTCGCTCCTCTCCACTGCCGAGTATCTCCCTAGCAAGCCGTTTGCTAAGGGGGCACTCTTTGGCTTGCTACCGAGCCGTGCTCGCTCCAGTTACACACAGACCGCGGCTTGGCCCCACCCCCTTTTTCTCACTGGCTGTGACTGACAGCAGCAAAAGCCAGTGGCTCCCACTGCTGTCTCTGAGCCTATGAGGAGGGCGAGAACCGAGAGAGCCATTGCTCTCGGGCACAGCACTGGTATGAGATCAGGCTCAGGTAAGTATGGTGTGGAGGGGAGCTGGTAGGTAATAAACTTCAGCTTTTAGAAAAACTTTAACTAAACCCAAGAATAAAAATGTAAACATTGCAGCTTACAGTCCTTAGATGTGTTGGCTATATTAGTTTTTTTGGGTTTTTTTTTTCAAGCTAGGAATACTTTCAGCAAATACAGAAAATACCTGTTAATCTTGCCAGAAGTGTTGTGCCACTTCCTGCGAGCTTCACCAAATCTCTTCCCACCTAACTACCTTCTGTAAACTACCAATTGCCCTGCCCCCAATGTTATGCAGATGGAGATACAGGTATGCTTGTAGTCCATATTAGCAAAGCAGCCTAGGGTTACAGCCATGGCTCCCTACATAGATACTGTAGAGCACGGGTGTCAAACTGGCGGCCCTCCAGCTGTTGCCAAACTACAAGTCCCATGAGGCATTGCAAGCATGACTCCCAAAGGCAGAGGCACGATGGGACTTGTAGTTTCGCAACATCTGGAGGGCCACCTGTTTGACACCCCTGCTGTAGAGGAATAACGTAGCTGCCTAGAGACTAGAAGTGTTATTTGCAGGTGATAATAAATCAAGTAAGCTTGAAAATGAATACATCCGCCACGCCAAAGAAAAGTAAGTTGCAACTTTTATTTTTTTGGGTAAAATTCTGAGGTGGGAGATTCAACCTTTCTCTTAGTCATGGCCACCATTGTCACTGAGACTGAGGGTCACTAAACAAAAACAATTTTCAGTTGTCATTGGAATAGGAATAAAGGCAAAATGCTTCCAGCGGGGGACACTTGTTCTGCTAACCATATATAGTTAGAAGTTTATTTAAAATGTTCAAGCTTCACATCAAATAAGTTAAAGCATCCATATGCCATAAATAATAGTAAACATCAGATTTTGTCTTTACTGCACTTACAAAGATGTCCGCCAGTTCCGAGACTGATATGGCGGCATGACGTCCGTGCTTAGCTCCGTACCAATGCGTTTCGTGCAACACCCTGACTTCAGTGAATGCTGAAGGTTACTGGATAGGGGACGACTGATTTACTATTTTGGTTTACTGGATTTACAAATCACATGGGTTGGCATTGCTGGGTGCCTGGTTTGTGGCGAAAAGTTTATTTCTGCCAGTCAGCTGTGGTATACTGTAACTCTTACAATTCTTCAGCATGTACTTGACTGTTGGACATTGATATCTTTGGACATTTGAACTTTCAATCACAATCTGACCCCTCTAAAGATGCCCATAGGACCTGTTAAAGATGCCTGTAGGCCCTGCCTGAAGGTCACATAGGTTGTGTGGTGCCTGGTTTGCAGTGATAAAAGTTTTTCTGCCAGTCAATCATTAACCATTTCAGTACCGGGCAATTTTACACCTTCCTGCCCAGGCCATTTTTCACGTTTCAGCGCTCTCACACTTTGAAAAGACAATTGCGCGGTCATACAACATTGTACCCAAACTAAAATTTTATCATTTTCTTCACACAACTAGAGCTTTCTTTTGGTGGTATTTAATCATCGCTTGGGTTTTTATTTTTTGCTAAATTAACCAAAAAAGACCAAAAATTAAAAAAAAAAAACACGTTTTTCTTTGTTTCTGTTATAAAAGTTTACAAATAAATAATTGTTCTTCATAAATTTAGGCCGAGATGTATTCCGCTACATGTCTTTGGTGAAAATAACCCAAATTAGGATGTATTATTTAGTTTGTAGGAAAGTTATAGAGTTCACAAACTATAGTTTAGATCTAAAAATTGATCAATCCTGAAGTACTGACGGCCAATCTAATCTCTTGAGGTCCAAGAATATCAGGACGGTACAGATATCCCCCAAATGTCAGGACAGGACAGATATCCCCAAATGTCAAAACAGGACAGACAGATATCCCCCAAATGTCAGAACAGTACAGATATCCCCCAAATGTCAGAACAGTACAGATATCACCCAAATGTCAGGACAGGACAGATATCCCCCAAATGACCCCTTTTTGCAGAGTAGACAGTCCGACGTACTTCAAAGAGGAATGGCGAGTTTTTTGAAGTTGTATTTTTTTTTTGTCATAATTTTTCGGAAAATTAAAAAATTAAAAAACAATTATTTTCACTATTTTTTTTTTTACATACTGTCACCAGTGCAGTACAGCGTCATCATATAACTGGCATGGCGGTGATCAGGGACACTGACTGGTGACAGTATGAAAAAAAAAAATATATATTTTTTTTTTGTTTTTATTACATTTTTTTAAATGTTTTTTTAAGATTTTTTTTTCATATTTTACTATGACCAAAGTAGTACAATGTTACCATAGTAACATTGTACTACTTTGGGGAAGTGATCAGTATTTTTTTTTTTTTTCTACACAATTTGCTTATAGCAAAGAATTACTTTGCTATAAGCAAGCATTTACCTGAATGAAATCGATTCATTCAGGGGTTTGTGTTTTTTTTTGGGTTTTTTTTTTGTGCTTAGCTGTGATTTGGCCACAGCTAATCACATGACATGTGCATGTGACCTGCTGGGACCATTCACAGCTAGGCACTAGTATACAATGGATGGCATGAATGAAGCCATCCCTTGTATACAACTGTCATGTGACCTGCTGTGATTGGTCACAGCAGGTCACATGGTACTGGCAACGGGGGCCGGTACTCAGATCTGTCATCGGCCGTGTCCAAGGTACACTGTCGGTGACAGATCGCACCGCTCTGCAACCGCGCGAACTGTGCATGTGCGGGAGCGCGCCAAATGGCGTGCACCCGGAAAGCTGAAGCATTTTTGCGGCCGCCAAACGGCTTTAGGCCGGGCGGCTAATGGTTAAGTACTTTTATTCTTACGATTCTTCGTTGTGTGCTCGACTGTTACATGTTGGACATTGATATCCTTGGATCATCGGACTTTCAAGCACAATCTGACCTTCTAACGATGTCTGTAGGACCTGCTTCCTTCAAACATTCATGTTTATTTACCATGGAGGGAGGAACATGCTAATGCCCTCAGCACCAGCTTAACTCCTGAGAAATAATGACGAATGGAGGTGGCTTTTATTTTCCCTCATGCCTTTTTTTATTTTTTTCGTTCGAACATTTGCAGATTTACAAACACATTCCTTTAGCAGCATCAGATTTCCAGTAATTTTGCTGTCTAAATGTTATTGGTAATATAAGAAAGTTGTATATTAAACGATGATATTTTTAATACTTCACCACCATGTGTGGCAGCGATTGTTTCCTGGCTATTTGACATCAAAGTGTACAAGTGGAGATCTTTCCAGAGTTCAAGAGACAACTGAAATATGTGTACTCCTGCATCCAATTAAAAACCCGACCTCTTCCAAAATGTTTTTCTTAGTTATGAATAGGCACGGAAAGATTAGGACTTTTTTTTGAATGCTTTCTTCCTTTTGTGACTGACGTCAGTAATAAATCTCCCCAATGGGAACACACAAAAGCAGGGCTGTTGTTAGAAACCCTGGGGCCCCATGCAGCCAACCTGAGCCCCCCCCCCAAAACCAAAAAACAGCTTACAGTGCTTTCAGTAATGCATGAACACAGTGAGTGACCGGTTCCAATCACTCATTGTGTTCATTCAGGAAAGGAAGCGGCTGGTACATGTTTAATATTTACCGGACCCTTCCCCTACTCTCCATTCTGAAGGATCCTATTGTGTGCTTGCATCTGCCGGTGGGTAGGAGAGGAGGGAAACCAGAGTGGGGTTACACAGGGAGGCCTGGGCAACAGAGGGAAATGTATGGTGCACAGGGAGGGTGATGGGTGTGGCGGAGCAGCAGTTACTGTAACCAATCCCCAGTATGGTTCTCTCTGCAGCAGCTAAAAGCCAGCGGGAGGGAGAGGAGAAGCTATCTTTCAGCTGCTGCAGAGAGAGCCATACAGGGGATCAGTTCCAGTAACTGTTGTTCTGATGCACCCAGCTGTCTGGGCCTCCTGCTGGCTTGGGCACCATACAGGAAGACTGGTGGTACCCCCTTATCCATGGGCCTGCAGACAACAGAAATAACCTGAAGAATTTTAGATGGGAGGTGCTAGATTCAGACCTGCTCCTGATTTGAAGCGAAGTCTTAAAATGTTACTAAACCCAGGACCCTGCATTCACTTTATCTGGTCTCCCCGGTCCCCGCATTCACTTTATCTGGTCTCCCCGGTCCCGCCCGCATTCACTTTATCTGGTCTCCCCGGTTCCTGCTTTCACTATATCTGGTCTCCCTGGACCCTGCATTCACTATATCTGGTCTCCCTGGACCCTGCATTCACTATATCTGGTCTCCCCGGACCCTGCATTCACTATATCCACTCTCCCTGGACCCAGCATTCACTATCTGGTCTCCCAAGACCCTGCATTCACTATATCCGCTCTCCCTGGACCCCGCATTCACTATATCCGGTCTCCCAAGACCCTGCATTCACGATTTCTGGTCTCCCCGGACCCTGCATTCACGATTTCTGGTCTCCCCGGACCCTGCATTCACGATTTCTGGTCTCCCCGGACCCTGCATTCACTATATCTGGTCTCCCCGGACCCTGCATTCACTATATCTGGTCTCCCCGGTCCCTGCATTCACTATATCTGGTCTCCCGGACCCTGCATTCACTATATCTGGTCTCCCCGGACCCTGCATTCACTATATCTGGTCTCCCGGACCCTGCATTCACTATATCCGGTCTCCTCGGTCCCTGCATTCACTATATCCGGTCTCCCCGGACCCTGCATTCACTATATCCGGTCTCCTCGGTCCCTGCATTCACTATATCCGGTCTCCCCCGGTCCCCGCATTCACTTTATCTGGTCTCCCCGGACCCTGCTTTCACTATATCTGGTCTCCCCGCACCCTGCATTCACTATATCCGGTCTCCCCGCACCCTGCATTCACTATATCTGGTCTCCCAGGACCCTGCATTCACTATATCCGGTCTCCCCGCACCCTGCATTCACTATATCTGCTCTCCCCGGACCCTGCATTCACTATATCTGGTCTCCCCGGACCCTGCATTCACTATATCCGGTCTCCCTGGACCCTGCATTCACTATATCTGGTCTGGACCCTGCATTCACTATATCTGTCTCCCCGGACCCTGCATTCACTATATCTGGTCTCCCCGCACCCTGCATTCACTATATCCGGTCTCCCCGCACCCTGCATTCACTATATCTGGTCTCCCCACCCTGCATTCACTATATCTGCTCTCCCTGGACCCTGCATTCACTATATCTTTAACTGACAATTTGCACGGTCATGCAACACTGTACATAAATTAAATTTATGTCTTTTTTTCCCACAATTAGAGCTTTCTTTTGGTGGTATTTGATCACCTGTGTGGTTTTTATTTTTTTGCACTATAAACAAAAACAGACCGACAATTTTGAAAATAAAAAAAAACAATATTTTTTGACTTTTTACTATTAAACATGTCCAGTAAAAAAATTTAAAAAATCAAATTTCATAAAAAATTTAGGCCAAAATGTATTCTGCTCCATGTCTTTGCAAAAAAAAAAAAAAATCTCAGTACGTGTAAATTAATTGGTTTACGTGAAAGTTGTAGCGTGTACAAATGATGGAATATATACTGGAATTTTTTTTTTTATACTAGTAATGGTGACGATCAGCGACTTATTGAGGGACTGCGGGACTGCCACTGGGGTGAACTGGCTAACTGCCACTGACATTCCCAGTGACACCAATACAGTGATTAGTGTTAATAAAAAGCACTGCCACTGTACTAATGACACTGGGCAGGAAGGGGTTAACATCTGGGGTGGTCAAAGGGTTAACTGTGTGCTGTGTGTGATTTACTAGGGAGACATGCTGTGCAGAGCAATACACAGCAGCCTGTTCGTGCTGACAGGGGAGAGATATGTGTTTACATACAGACCTCTCCCCTGTCAGCTCTGCCGACAATCACCGAGTCCTGGCCAAGAATCAGCAGCCACTCTGCCAACAATCACCAAGTCCTGGCTGAGAATCAGCAGCCGTTCCGCCAACAATCACCAAGTCCCCGGCCGAGAATCAGCAGCCGCTCCGCCAACAATCACCGAGTCCTGGCCAAGAATCGGCAGCCACTCCGCCAACAATCACTGAGTCCTGGCCAAGAATCGGCAGCCACTCCGCCAACAATCACTGAGTCCCGGCTGAGAATCAGCAGCCGCTCTGCCAACAGTCACTGAGTCCCGTCCGAGAAGCAGCAGCCGCTCTGCCAACAGTCACTGAGTCCCGTCCGAGAAGCAGCAGCCGCTCCGCCAACAATTACTGAGTCCCGGTCAAGAAGCAGCAGCCGCTCCGCCAACAATCACTGAGTCCCAGCTGAGAATCAGCAGCCGCTCCGCCAACAATCACTGAGTCCCGGCTGAGAATCAGCAGCCGCTCCGCCAACAATCACTGAGTCCCAGCTGGGAATCGGCAGCCGCTCCGCCAACAATCACCGAGTCCCGGCTGAGAATCAGCAGCCGCTCCGCCAACAATCACCGAGTCCCAGCTGAGAATCAGCAGCCGCTCCGCCAACAATCACCTGAGAAGCAGCAGCCGCTCCGCCAACAATCACCGAGTCCTGGCCAAGAAGCAGCAACCGCTCCGCCAACAATCACCGAGTCCTGGACGAGAATCAGCAGCCGCTCCGCCAACAATCACCGAGTCCCGGCTGAGAATCAGCAGCCGCTCTGCCAACAATCACTGAGTCCCGGCCGAGAAGCAGCAGCTGAGACACGGTGATTGACATGCCGAGGAGCCAATAGCGGCGCAGGTAGGGAGCGCACGCGCGCGGAAAAGCAAAGTCACGTGTGTGTGTGTGTGTGTATGTATATGTGATTTTGCGCATCCCTTCCTCCCTGTGGCAGTACTTCTGCTATAGGGCGGTCAGGAAATAGTTAATCAGTGTTCCCCGTTCTCACTATACACACAGGCTTCAATTTTTTCTTTCTATTTTAATGTCATCTTTCATAGATCGTTCATTTAGCAGAGTGCGCTGAGTGATCCGATAATAGCCTGTGTCTGTCAGAGCTATAGTATTAAAAACAGAAGTGTGAATGGGGCCTGAAAGTGAAATTGGTTTGTTTACACAGAACAATGAGGCTCCATTCACATCTGTGTGATTCTGAACACATGGCAATCTGCACAGAACATGGACGCTTTGCCATACGGTACAGAAACACACTGCAAATGTGCATTGTATATGTGGTAAAGGCACCCCAAGTGCAGGAAAAGCACCGTAAACTGCGGTCACGCACCGTGCTCCACCCCCAAAAAAAGTTCTAGCGCTTCTCTGGGGCGATTGTTGCGTGTATTGCAGCCCATTCAAGTAAATAGACTGCCCTTTGCGTGACGAGCAAAGACACTCCAAAACACCCAAAACAAATGCAAGCGGGAATGTGAGTTTTCGCTACGTGGAGATGTGATTGGGGCCTGACAACTGAGTGTCTCCATTCACTTCCTCCTATGTACGTTTTTAAAGATGGTCATACACTATGCAATCTGATTGTACAATTTCCTTTAGATTTACCAGAACTATGAATTAGGAGGACCCACATGAACAATCCATTCAATCTGTATCAAATCAAACAGACCCTTGTAGTACATGGCTGATGGGAAATCTAGATCTAAGGCCGGCCATACATGGGTTGAAATTCGAGTGATTTTTCATCCGAAAATTGGACCTAAGAATAATTTTCGCTCTGCTAGTGGGTCAATGGCACAGGCCGATTATCGTGGTTCCTCCCCTTTTTCAGTGATTGGGCATTTTGTAAAATTAGTGAAAAATGACTGATTTTCGACTCAATGATGGTCAAATCATACGATCGATTTTCCAAAAGAATATGTGCATGAGCCGTGACCTGGAAGGAACAGGCGTTTTGCCTGTTATATTGAATTTTTAAAATATCCCATGGATAAGGCAAGTGAGAAAAAAAGAAAATTGGGATGGCTGGGCCAGAAATGACACTTAGAAAACACTTCTATTTATTATGAAAAGTGAAATTCTGCCTGAAAAGGTGAACTTAACCTTTATTATACGGTCAGCCCAGGCTTACAGCTAGTAAAAGCCCAAAATTCAGGATCTCTGCAAATTTGAATATTGTGAAAAAGTTCAATATTGTAGACTCCTGGTGTCACACTCTAATCAGCTAATTAACTCAAAACACCTGTAAAGGTTTCCTGAGCCTTTATCCTCCCTAGCGGTCTGACTATGTCAATATTTCTGTGCTCAAAGCGGTACATTTTTTTGCATGGAAATATGTATTTTTTTTATTGTAGGCCTGTAATTTTTAGGAATAACTCACTGAAATCTGTCCGAACAAGAGTCTAGTAAACATCCCGGGTATGATCAAATTTTACACCCGCTATCAGAAATTATAATTTAATAAATAATCAAAGAAATAATATAATAATAAATTTAAATCAATAATATAATCAAACCAAAAACACTGAAATTTTAAATATAGCGCCAAGTTCGCACATCACTGAGCAAAGTCGCAGAATCGTTTTCAGTGTCTGATGAGGAATTTCCCCCACGAATCATTATCACTCAATTCTGCAAGTGGTTCTGATTTACTATCGCTGTTCTCTATTTGGTCTAAAACCGCTTTTGACCTGAAGGGACGGTTTTTGGACGCCATGGACTTTTCTCAGTTTCCAGGCAGAAAGAACAGTAAACTGCATGCATTCTGGTGTAGTAAGATGGCGCTCCACCGAAAGTGCGTCACCACGCCGCATCTACGTGTTACGTCACGCACATGTGACTTCCTCAGGATTTATTGTAATAAAAATACAAATTAAATTTTATTATTTTTATTAATGTCACTGAAGAAATGTAGCAGAATACATTTTGACCTAAAGAAATGTTATTTATTTGGAAAATTTTATAACCGAAACGAAGAAAAGTGTGTTTTTTTTTTTTCAATAGTTTCAGGTGTTTTTTGTTTTATTTAGCAAAAATAAAAACTCACCGGTGATTAAATACCAACAAAAGAAAGCTCTATTTTTGTGAATAAAAATTTCATATGGGTACAGTGTTGTCATTCAAAGTGTGAGAGCGCTGAAAGCTGAAAATTGTCCTGAACAGGAAGGGGGTATAAGTACCCGGTATTGAAGTGGTTAAAAGAAATTCTTGAAACATGTCACTCTGTGTGGAATAAATCTATATAATATAAGTTTCACTTTTTAAATGGAATTTCTGAAATAAATGAACCTTTTGATGATGATCTTATTTATTTTGACGCACCTGTAGTCACCGCATGTACTATTGCTAGCCGGTGATGGAGGGAGGAGAACGTCAGCGTTGGCCTCTTCGGAAGGTTCCCAGTCCTATTTACAGAAGGTCTGGCAGCACACTGTGGCTTGTGCAGCCCATTAGGCAGCGCAGTACATACATCACACCACGTCATATAGAGCGTGCATTCCCTGGGAGGCTCGGCCTGAGACAGGAAGCGTGTGTCGGGTTACAAAGCCAGCAGCTGTAATGAGAAAATGATAAATGGCTGTCAGTGGACGCAGGGCAAAGGGCACCAGAAAAAGGGAAATATTAGAGAGAGCGCAGGAAAACACTGCTGTGACAGCCCAAGCCTTTAAGTGAAAATGAAAAAAAAATAAAAACCCGCTGGCTCTGAGTCAGTGAACACACTATAGGCTTCATTTATCAATCCGTGAGAGCAACAATGTATCACAGGCCAGAGCAACAGTGTATCACGGGCCAGAGCAACAATGTATCACAGGCCAGAGCAAACAATGTATCACGGGCCAGAGCAACAGTGTATCACAGGCCAGAGCAACAGTGTATCACGGGCCAGAGCAACAATGTATCACGGGCCAGAGCAACAATGTATCACGGGCCAGAGCAACAATGTATCACGGGCCAGAGCAACAATGTATCACAGGCCAGAGCAACAGTGTATCGCGGGCCAGAGCAACAGTGTATCACGGGCCAGAGCAACAGTGTATCACGGGCCAGAGCAACAATGTATCACGGGCCAGAGCAACAGTGTATCACGGGCCAGAGCAACAGTGTATCACGGGCCAGAGCAACAATGTATCACAGGCCAGAGCAACAGTGTATCACGGGCCAGAGCAACAGT